ATCCTGACCCAATGATTTCTCCCTGACTATCATCACCAAATGTTACTTTTCCTCCACGTTTCATAGTTAATGAGCTAAACAGGTGTTTCTTTCCAGACATGTGATGAGAACAACCACTATCAAGGTACCATTTAGTATCAGAAATAGAGTTGGAAAATGTCTGACCTGATTTGAAGTTCGGTTCAGAGGAGTCTTTCTTACCAAATGCCATGAAGGCTTCTTCTTCTTCTCTATCCTCTTCCTCTTCTGTTTCGTAGTCACTCCAAGTTACAGCCTTCATAGCTCGTTCTTTGGCTTTCAGGGTCAGTGGGCAGTTAGCCCTAATGTGCCCTGGTTTCCCGCACTTGTAACAATCCTGAGACTCCTTTTCTTGACTACCTGAATCAAAATTTCTGGTCTGCGGAGTACGCAGCCTATTTTGGAAAGAATTACTTTTGACTTTGTCAAAAGTGTTAGATCGATTATAAAAGTTTCTGTCATTTCCCTTAAGTTTTTGTTCTTGTTTAAATTTTAGCATCCTATGAAATTTGCTACTGATTAAGGCAAACTCCTTATCGAAATCTTCTCCTAACTCAGAATCAGACTCATATTCTGTAACTTGGGACTTGAACGCCAGAGATTTCTTCCTTTTTTCATCATCTTTGTTTACCTGTTTAATAACATGTTCGTGACTTAACAAAGATCCTACAAGTTCATCTATGGACAGGGTATTTAGATTTCGTGCTTCCTCTATGGCAGTTCTCTTAGGAAGCCACTCTTTAGGAAGAGATCTTAACAGTTTTCTATTCAGATCCTTAGCAAGGTACGTTTTTCCTAGTCCTTTCAACTTGTTAATTAAAAGAGTGAAACGAGAGTACATCTCGTGAATGCCCTCACCTGGAGCCATGTCGAAGCACTCGTATTCATGCACGAGAAGGTCGATTCTTGTTTCCCTGATGTTCGAAGTGCCCTCGTATGTGCTTTCCAGAGAGCTCCATATTCCCTGAGCAGTCTCGCAGTGCTCCACCTTGTCCGCCTCATCGGGAGTCATGGCGGTTTGCAAGATGTGCATGGCTCTTTGGTTCAATTGCGCGCTTTTCTTCTGAGCTGCTGACCAGAAGGTTTGTTGATCGGCCTCCATTTCAAGCGGTCCGTCGCGTACAACAACCCATAGCTCTTCGTCGACTCCCCATAGGAAGGTCTTCATCCTCTTTTTCCAGGCGGTGTAGTTCGTCCCCGTGAAGATAGGCGGATGATTGTAAGATGCATGTCCAAAACTTGCGGAAGCCATTGATTAGGATCTTCCCTTGGCAGTAGTTAGCTTCGATCAAGGACCTGCTCTGATACCACTTGTAATCAGAGAAAATTAGTAATTTGGAGAACAGAGAAGATGAAATGGAAAGACGAAGAAATGAAACGAATAGAGAAGTTAGGGATTTTGACTAAGCAGTCAATCTCCCTGATCGAACCGGTTGCAGTCCTGGTTTGACCTAATACCCCGTGTTCATGTAGCGGACTGGGTTTTAAGTGAGTGGGCTTAGCCCTGATGAGCCCAAGAACCAATTAGTTTGATTCAAGATTCATTCAGGCTTGAGCCCAACTCTGACTCAACGAAAGACAGACTGAGAAGTCGTCTTCTTCACCTCGCCATGGTGTAGTCGAGCCAGAGCACCAGAAAACAGAGTATGAAAGGCAGAATTAAAATGCAGAGCAGAAACTAAAGTGCACAGGAGATTTTTAACGAGGTTCGCCACTGGGCTACTCCTCGTCCCAGGATAGTACTTCACTATCCTGAGAGACACTTTGATTTTCTTTATTGACGCGAAATGGAAAACTGAAAGCTAGGTTACAGACTCTGTGAGAAAATCAAAATGTCACGACTCACAGACCAGAATTCACGCAGGAATTCCTTACACTCTTTGATCAAGCTGAACCTGTTCCTCAGCTTGATTCAAAGCCACTGATTCCCCAAAACCCAATCCCTTAGCCCTATACCACCGAGAGATTCCCTGTCTTAATCAGTGCTTCGCCTTTCTTCTGGCGTTCCTTCTTATAAGCAGTGCAGAGGCCGTTGCAGTTTGAATTCGATCAGAAGGAGTAGGTTCGAACAGCTGTTCCTTGAATCACGGCTTAATTGATTTGCTCCCCCTTGATTGATGGTTCGGTGAAATATGGTAATCTCCCAACTTGCTCTTTAATCTTCCAACAGGGCTCTGGCATGGCTCGAATCCTATCTGGATGCTCATGGGTCTGGGGAAATCATTTTGGAAGCGGGAAGAGGAGGGAATCAGATCAACAGATGGATGCCGCCGCCGGAAGGGGTTTACAAACTAAACTCAGATGCTGGTATCCTGCAGCGAACTAGAACGGGGATGGGATGCATTCTTCGGGATTGTAAGGGGAGTTCAAAGGGGCCTCGGCATTAAAGGAAAGAGGAGCATGTAGACCGATTGAAGCTGAAGCGAAAGCAATCTGGATGGGGTTGAGGGAAGCAAACAGAAGGGGATTGAGTCCCATTATCGTTGAATCAGATTGTGAGGTGTTGATTCGAAAGCTGAAGATGAAGGATAAGGATCAGACTGAATTGGGAAGCTGGTGCGAGGAGATTTGGATGCTTGCTGAAACAAATGAAGCTCTATCTGGAGAACAGGTGGGTTGGAACTTTGTGCCAAGAACGTGCAATGGGGCAGCTCATTGGCTCGCTCACTCTATCGGTGTGTGGAATAGCCAGGTGGTGTGGGTGGATGAGCCACCGTTATCTTTGCTTGTAATGTTAGAAACAGATATGGGCCGAGCCACTCTGGGCCCTATGTAGCTTTTCGTTGAGTAATACGAATGCATGTTCCCGTAAAAAAAAAAAAAAAACCTCTCTCCTCGATAGAAATCTCATATTTGAATTTAGTATTCCTTGAGCTATCTAAATCAACATGATTAAACAGGCTTCGATGAATTGGAATGCGGCAGTGCAAAAGATCGATCTATGACTCTATATTAGTCAGCCTTATTTAAAATAAAAAAGAGAGAATAAAAAACAACTTTTATAGGAACCAACTACAATCGCAAACAATCGTATGAATCGAGTCAGAGAGTATCAACCCCGTAAGGATATAGGTTGGTTGTTGCATCTTAATTGTCATCAAATCACCATTTGGTACTGGGTAATGATCTTCATTTTCAGTGTATTGAGGTTATATCTTGATTAAGAAACAAATGAAACACACAAAAACATGCATTGACATTGAATTCTATATTTCATATATGATATATCTTAATTAGATGAAGCACATGAATATACCTGGACTATATATACTGCATGCCCTCAATTGTAGTGGCCTCAATTGCTAGGGTTGCATGACATGACTCTCTTCTCAAGGGGACACGTGTACAACCAGTCTAGATTCATTGTCTCTTCATGTGTGTGTTCGTTTTTGGTTATTATATATAAATAAATAAAACTTATGTATTTTGCAAGGAGCACAGGAAGACCAGAAGAGGTATGACATTTGTCGACGATGAAGCGTAAGAGCAGAAGTGCCCATTATCATATATATATATGGATCATAGTAAAGGTGGCCCCGTTGAAGGAAAAAACTTCTACACTACCCATCTTCCACGTCTATCATGCAATTATATATAATCGATTCATTGCAATAATCTATATATGAAGAAGAGGGTGCATGTTTTGGAATGTATAAAGTAGTAAAAAACAAGAACATTTCAATCAAGTAGGTTGTTTTAAAGTGTTTGTTAAGTACATTTTGGAGAAATTCTGCTAGGCACAAAAGCCCTTTGATCAGGTAACATGTATAAGTTGATGATACAAACAAAACACTGCATGGAGGACCATGGAATTATGATAGCAGTATGTGAAGATTCAAAGAATTCGATTTATCAAGGAAACCAATCGCGAAAGAGATACTAAGATGGACATTTGGATTCTTATCGGATTCATACTTGCGACGCTGAAACCCCGACAAATGGCGGATAAGATTGCACCACGATTTGAAAGATTTCTCTTGTATGATAAAATAACTCATTATCCATGAAGTGACTTTTTTAGAATGAGGATATAAAAAACACCTATGAAAGAAGATCAGAAGCTGAAAATAAGAGGAGAAATACGTACCTTTGAATCAAGTATGCGAGACTTCCCATGTTATTTTATTCTTGGGGGAGAGTGGGTCACCCCAAGCTCTATTTACAAAACATCACCAAATGCACCAACAGATAGATATGGTCATATGGATCCTGATTGAAAGCCAAGCCACCTCCTCAGTTGCAACAAGTTAGAGCAATAACGATCATTATTATACCGAATTACTTTGTTGTGTTCAATGCCCTCAAATGGGAACATTCTTTATGGCCTTAATTTTGTTAGTGGTTTGCCTAAATAGAGTCCATAGTCTCAATGATCACTACACAATGGCATATTAACTCCTAAGAAAATATTAGATTTAGTAGTTTCTCAATGTTACCACTCACTTGAATACACGTTTTAAGTGTTGGATCTCTCTAAACTATAAAATGTGTATAGTAGAATGAACTTTTTGGCATATCATTAGAGTTTCCACCAATTATATCAATAATCAATCCCCTCACCAATAGTCTTGAATGATCCAGTAAATATAGATCGAGCTCTTAAGAGCACAATTTGATAATAAGACAACCATCATATGAACTTCTTAGTTGCTTGCAGAAGATTGTTGATTGATGAAGGTCCATAATTGTTACAAAAGAGAGAGAGATTCCACCTCCATTCTCTTTTATCCAATCAAAACTATACATTACAATTGTCGAAGTACCAAGTCTTTCACCTAAGAGGCAAGAGCCAATAATCACGACTCTAAGCAAAGATGGAAAGTTTAAAGCTTTGAAGCTAATGAAAAAGTGGAAGAAGAAAAAAAAAAAAAAAAGAGTAAAAGAAGGAAGGATGTTGATATAAAGTAACCATGGTTAGAACTCAATAAGACTTCCGGAAAGGAACGGATGCCTTAACCATGGTTGAAAACTGGAAACCAACATGGGTTTAGGCTGCTGGAGGGTGGTGGGAATTCTTTCGGCCTGTTTTCCAGGGGATGGTAATTATAAAAAGCCCATCATCCATCCATTAGATAGAAAGCAAAGCAAAGAAACAAGGCATCGAGCAGCTGAAGCACTATCCAATTTATCTCCCCAGAATTTCTCAAGCCGATTCAATGAATCCATAACCTTTGTGGGTTTTTTTGGCTTGTACCGCGATTTCATCGCTTTCCGGGTTTCCTAGCTGATAATTCAACAGTATCTGCTGCAACTTTTACTTTGATTCTGCAGAAACTGAAGAACTTCAGCTGTGTTGTGTGTAAGTTTCTATCCATTCCTTTTTTTTCACTTCATCGACAGAGCTATGGTGTTTTTTCTCTTGTTTTTCTTTAATATTCTGAAATGACATAGGAAAGATCGTGTCTTTCTGTATTTAAAAAGAAAAACTGGATCTTGGATATTAGCTGGACTGATGTTTTCTGAATTAGCTAGCTGGGTTTTTCAAATCCAGGTGACTTCTGTTGAGTTTCCTCATTTGTAAAGGTTTCTTCTTTTGGTTCAATTGTTGTATGCTGTTCGATCTTGTATCTATGTGTGTGCCGTGAGAAGCTGATAATTGATGATGTTAATCAATGGAGGATGTGGGTTTCTGAGGGTTCCTTGATTTGTGGGATCTGGGTCGATCTATATTGACTCTAAATTCGAAAGAGTTGCTCTTCTAATTTCAATCTCAGCTATACCTTACATTTCATTAGGCTGATAGAACTTGGTTTTCTGCAGTGTAGTCTTTATAGGGTTTGACGCGTAGATAGATATTTGATCCTTTATGGTATTCTATATATATTGGTAGTGGTAGTTTCATTAAGAAGATGGATTGAAGTTCTTGAACTTCTATCTAGTTTGGATTTGCAGCCTTTGATTTCATTCAAATTCTTTTGGCTGATCGCCAGTGAATATTGCCACATACGAAAGGCTATTGCTCAGTTTAGTTCATCGTAGCATTTCATTTTTTGATAGTTTGTTGATTCTAAACTAGTTTATTCAGTGTCTGATTTTGACCTCGTTTATGTTCCTTTCTTCAGATATCTAGTTACACAAAGAGAAGGTCTTGATCCTCATTTAACTCTTCAAGTTCGTTTCGCAAAGATGGGTCTCTCAACTCTTCCATCTCCATCTGAAGGAGTCCTGTGTCTACTCCTGGTAAACACGGCACTGTCTATCTCTATTGTCAAAGGAATCCTCCGTTCAATCCTTCACATAGTCGGCATCCATCTCCCACCATCATCACCTCCATACTCCGAGTTCACTGAAGAACCCACGATGGACCCTTTTGAGTTCACCACTACTACCTCAGATGCCTTCATTGACCAATTCCGAAGCCGGGCTGCCTCGGAAGGTTACATTGAGGAGTTCCGCAGCAGGAGTCCACCAACTCGGTTCGACAAAGTATGCCGGACCGAACATGACTGCTCAGTCTGCTTGACTCGGTTCAACCCAGAATCGGAGATCAATCGACTGTCCTGTGGGCATATCTTCCACATGGTATGCCTTGAGAAGTGGTTGGACTATTGGAACATCACTTGCCCTCTCTGCAGGAGCCCGTTGATGCCTGAAAAAGAGGATGCATCGTGCTTTTCCTGATGGAAGGTATAGCGATTTTATAGTGAGATACCGAGAGAGATGCCATGTACAGCGTGCTAGTGTGTACATAGAGGGTACTTTTCTAGTTTTGCTGTGAAATCCAGGGAGCATAGATTGGGAGCTTGAGAGAGTACTTGGAAGTTCTTTCATTGTACATATTGTGAGAGTGAGAGAGAGAGGGTTTTAGGTTTATGATCATAATCTATTGCAGCTATCCATCCAACAGAAGAGATCTGGTTTATACTTGGTTTGTGAATCCTTATTCTTTCTGGTTTACTTGTTTCCTGCTGATTGAATCTGTGCTTATGGTGGATGCATCATGGATTATATGCATCCGTGGTGAGTTTGCAGCTTTTAATGTCTAACCGAGTCAAATGTTGCTGTGACTTCGTGAGGACGAGGTAAAACAAGACCCACTGCCCCTACGTTCTCATACGAAACCCAAATCCTAGGTTTAGCAGCAAGTCAGTCAAATGGAGGAAATCTGCAGCTTTCCATGTTCTATCAGACAGATCCATTGAATGAATGGAATATGACCAGTTTCTTTTAGAGGGCAAGCAAGTGCCTTTCAGTTTGGATAGCCATATGTATCTATGCTCTGCAACTTTCTACAATCTTTCCAGTTGATTGAATGGTATTCCGAAGTCTCATAGTATACAACAACCACCCTAGTAAGATTATTCCTTTGACTGATTTTGATTGAATGGTCTTCCCAAGTCTCAGTATACAACATCCACCATAGTAAGATTATTTCTTTGACTGATGTTCGACCGATAGTTTGACTCGGATGAGACTTACAAAACTCCATTGAATCAAGCATGGTTGTGTTTTCAAATGCTGACCAGTCGCGAATGGTGGGAAATATTTTCTACCATCCATATAATTTTGTGGCCAAGTATACTCAAACAAACAAAAAAATACAATAAAAACGTAGACAAAAGTTACAGACAGATCCAAAATAGTGAAGAAGAAATTTTATACGTACAGGTTGAGCAGCTAAAGTCTCAAGAGAGTGTTGTAGACGACTATTTGTTGCCTCTCTTGCTGCTTTTTCAAGGTTCGCCTGCTCTGTTCTCGGTACACTAGGTGTTAGAGTAGTCAAAGAGTAAAGGAAATACCACATTGGTGGGAGAAGGAAAGTGCAAGTTGTTTTTAAGTTTGCTTTCCACTTTAGTTATTGGATAAAGTGGTTAGTGGGCTTTTGGAAAAAGTGTGGGCTATTTAGTTTGACATATTAAATTACCCATACCTCAAAATAGTGAAACATTAGCCGTGACTACTCATCATCATCATCATCTTTTATAATGAACTCTACCGCATCAAGAAAAGAAAAGGAATATAAGAAGAATGATCAAACTCATTTCCGAAATTTGAGAATTAGATTGTACCTTTGACTTCTTTGAAATGCCAAACATTAATAACTATGTTATAAATGAAGTCAGGAAATAGTTCCATCATGTCTTCCATGATACGACTGTCAACCGATGCGATTTCACTTCCTTCAGCTGCAGTTCGACCATCCTACAAAGAAAGAAAAATGTCAATTTGCCCTAGAAAACCCTTAATTATACACAAAAGATCTTATGTAAGACTTACACTAGTGGTATGATATAAAATTCCTCGAATAAATGTGAGGATGGCCTCACCCCCTAACCTCCATACCACTATCGTGGGTGCCTGTCCACGTCCGCTTCCGCGTACTCTTTGTTGTTGCTGTAAAAGCTTCAGATCACGTCTCTGTCGAATGAAGTCACCCTCCTTTTTGTCAATATTCTCACAAGCTTCCACATAATGAGTGATTAAAGTCCCTTTCCAAGTACGCATTTCTTTGATCAGAGACTCTATGTGATCCATCATCTTTTGATTGAGCGGGTTACATGGCTGGATATATTGTCGAACATCTTGATTACAATTGCGAAAGTTATATAGAAACAAGACGAAGTTTATGGTTTCCTCTGCATCCCAAAGACATGGATGATTGCATATAAACTGGTACGTGTCCCTGATAAATACAACCGTGGTATGTTAAATTACAATTTCATTTGATCATGAAACAAATACATGGCGAGAAAGTTTTTGAATATTCTAGAAATACATACCAGAGGTTTGTTGGAGCAACCTTGTCACCTTCATCTCGAATAGCAGAAAGCGAAGTGGATAATTCATCAAGCTTACCAAGAAATCCAGATACATCAGCTGGAAGCGGAGACGGTCCTTGGTACCCAGCAATCACTTGCCTAAGTCTTGTGAAATCAAGAGACATATCATTGAATCTATCGTTGCCTTGATATACCACTTGTTCTGGAAGCTTGAGTAGAGCATCATCGACCAAGATGACTTTCTTTTCCTTTGCACTAGTAATGCTAAGGTCACTCAGAACTCTAGAAGAGAACAATATATCCTCTTGAATGGAGTCTCTCCCATATGGTAACCCCTGAAAATGTAGCTCAAAAATTTGTGCTAACAGCTTTCTGCCGTTAACAAAGAATTTCAATTACGTATCAATTTTCACGGTTAAAGGCAGGACCAAATATAGAAATATTACCAAATACCTCAAAATAATTTTGGTGCCAGGGGTTAAGATCCTAGTCCTCGCTCGCTGACCAGTCGCGAATGGTGGGAAATATTTTCTACCATCCATATAATTTTGTGGCCAAGTCTACTCAAACAAACAAAAAAATACAATAAAAACGTAGACAAAAGCTACAGACAGATCCAAAATAGTGAAGAAGAAATTTTATACGTACAGGTTGAGCAGCTAAAGTCTCAAGAGAGTGTTGTAGACGACTATTTGTTGCCTCTCTTGCTGCTTTTTCAAGGTTCGCCTGCTCTGTTCTCGGTACACTAGGTGTTAGAGTAGTCAAAGAGTAAAGGAAATACCACATTGGTGGGAGAAGGAAAGTGCAAGTTGTTTTTAAGTTTGCTTTCCACTTTAGTTATTGGATAAAGTGGTTAGTGGGATTTTGGAAAAAGTGTGGGCTATTTAGTTTGACATATTAAATCGCACTACGCACTACGCACTTAGCACGTTTGCGTGACGCGTTCGGATTTGAATTTTTGGCTAATTAATTAATCCGGATAATTATTTGATTTTGACTTTTGTGAAACGACGTAAGAAACAATCTCGAGTGCACCTGAAACCAACAAAAGACTGCAACAAATTAAAAGAAACGGTGGACATCACTGCAGAAGAGAGACAACTCAGTGTTATAGTCCTCTGTTCACACCAATAATAATGACTTAACCACCATGCAAAAATTAAAAGAATTAATGTAGAAAATGCAAATGCAACCTCTTTCTTAAATAGTCATCAGACAGTTAGGGGGCAAACTGGGGCATAAAAACTGATAGTGCAAAGTTGATCAATCAAATCAAGCGATCAAATGGTACAATGAAACAGTGGCCAAAGCAATGAATAAACCTATACCCGTCAATCAAGAGCAAAACTTGAAGAGAAACATACAATGATTAGGAAAGTAACAATACCAAGCTAATCCAACAAATACAATGATATGCGTCCAGTGTGATGACGCAAATGCACCGATGCGATAATCAAAACATCTCAAACTACATAAATTTAAGTATTTCGATTAAGATTCCCAGCATCCATATTTACCAACAGCATTGTTGGGGTTCTAAATGAAGGAGTTACAATGAAGAAACCGCACCACAATTATCAGAAGACACTACTAAAGACTATCTCTATCATCAATTGGAAAGCTTGGTCTAATGGGAAGTTCCAGAGGTGACCAACTATTAGGGGCTCTTTTTGAGGTGAACAACTTGGAAGAACATCATTCACAAAGCTAACAGCAACTTGGCGGACAGATTATCAGTACTAAATCCTCTTCTAAGCAAAGTTGCTGCTCGAAGAATCAAACAACAATAAGAGAATCAATAAGAATCTCCTGCGATAGATGGTGTCAGCTTTTTCCTTCTCTTCTTGACGTTCCTGAACTATGGTGTCATGAATAGATCCTTTGTTTGCATATCCACTAATATAAACCTTACGGGGCACCCTTGCATAGGCTATTAAACCCCTAATGCAAAACTCTCAATTATATATACTAACTGTTCCTCTACCCTCTAGGTACTTCTTTGTCAGACCAATCGCTCAAGTGTGAAAGCTAAATAGAAATAGAGGAAAGGTTAACGAGAATGAAATTACCCATACCTCAAAATAGTGAAACATTAGCCGTGACTACTCATCATCATCATCATCATCATCATCATCATCTTTTATAATGAACTCTACCGCATCAAGAAAAGAAAAGGAATATAAGAAGAATGATCAAACTCATTTCCGAAATTTGAGAATTAGATTGTACCTTTGACTTCTTTGAAATGCAAAACATTAATAACTATGTTATAAATGAAGTCAGGAAATAGTTCCATCATGTCTTCCATGATACGACTGTCAACCGATGCGATTTCACTTCCTTCAGCTGCAGTTCGACCATCCTACAAAGAAAGAAAAATGTCAATTTGCCCTAGAAAACCCTTAATTATACACAAAAGATCTTATGTAAGACTTACACTAGTGGTATGATATAAAATTCCTCGAATAAATGTGAGGATGGCCTCACCCCCTAACCTCCATACCACTATCGTGGGTGCCTGTCCACGTCCGCTTCCGCTTTCGCGTACTCTTTGTTGTTGCTGTAAAAGCTTCAGATCACGTCTCTGTCGAATGAAGTCACCCTCCTTTTTGTCAATATTCTCACAAGCTTCCACATAATGAGTGATTAAAGTCCCTTTCCAAGTACGCATTCCTTTGATCAGAGACTCTATGTGATCCATCATCTTTTGATTGAGCGGGTTACATGGCTGGATATATTGTCGAACATCTTGATTACAATTGCGAAAGTTATATAGAAACAAGACGAAGTTTATGGTTTCCTCTGCATCCCAAAGACATGGATGATTGCATATAAACTGGTACGTGTCCCTGATAAATATACAACAATGGTATGTTAAATTACAATTTCATTTGATCATGAAAAAAATACATGGCGAGAAAGTTTTTGAATATTCTAGAAATACATACCAGAGGTTTGTTGGAGCAACCTTGTCACCTTCATCTCGAATAGCAGAAAGCGAAGTGGATAATTCATCAAGCTTACCAAGAAATCCAGATACATCAGCTGGAAGCGGAGACGGTCCTAGGTACCCAGCAATCACTTGCCTAAGTCTTGTGAAATCAAGAGACATATCATTGAATCTAACGTTGCCTTGATATACCACTTGTTCTGGAAGCTTGAGTAGAGCATCATCGACCAATATGACTTTCTTTTCCTTTGCACTAGTAATGCTAAGGTCACTCAGAACTCTAGAAGAGAACAATATATCCTCTTGAATGGAGTCTCTCCCATATGGTAACCCCTGAATATGTAGCTCAAAAATTTGTGCTAACAGCTTTCTGCCGTTAACAAAGAATTTCAATTACGCATCAATTTTCACGGTTAAAGGCAGGACCAAA